GTTTTTTGAAGGTAGCTGAGGGTGAGGGCTGCAGATCTTTTGATTGATTGATTTTTGACACATGGTTTCGCTGTGTAGCCCTGGCTGTCCTGGAAGTTGCTCTGTAGACCAGGCTGGCCTCTACCTCAGAGATCCGTCCACCTATGCTTCAGGAGTGCTGGGGTTACAGGTGTAGACAGGCTCACCAGGTTTGGGTCATAGATGTTAAGTACACAGGTTGGTAATTAGTTCCTTTTGTTCTGTTTTTGTGGGGTTTTGTTTTGAGACAGGATCTCACTATGTAACACTAGCAGGCTTGAACATTTTATAGACTGGGCTGATCTTGAACTCACAGAAATTCTCCTGCCTCTGCCTCCCGAGTGCTCGTGTTAAAAGTTGTGCACCATAGGGCTGGTGAGATGGCTCAGTGGTTAAGAGCACTGACTACTCTTCTAGAGGTCATGAGTTCAAATCCCAGCAACCACATGGTGGCTCACAACCATCTACAATGAGTTCTGATACCCTCATATGTGTGTCGGAAGACAGCTACAGTGTACTTACATATAATAATAAATAAATAAATCTTTAAAAAAAAAAAGTTGTGCATCATACCTTTTTGTTTGTTTGGTGAGTTTTCGCCCTGCCTCCTTTTATGGAGCCCTCTGTGGACCAAAATTCAGCATATTCTCAAATTCCATTGCCCCAGCTGCTTCCCTACACATCGTCCCAGGTGACATCTCACGTGGGCATTTTCAGATTATCCCATCGCAAATTAATTTAATTTTATCTTGTGTGTGTGTGTGTGTGTGTGTGCAGAGTTTCACATAGCTCAGGTTAGCCTCCAACTTGCCATATAGCTAAGGGTGACTTTGAACTCCTGACCCTCTCGTCACAGCCTCCCAAGTCTCAGGAGAACACCCATTACCTTGAAATGCTTTTTTTGTGTGCGTGGTACTGGGGCTTGAACCTTGGGACTTGGCACCATCTTATTTTCTCCTGGGGAGGGCACGGGTGTCACCATCAATTAATGATTTCGAGATGGGCAGGTGAGTTTCCCATGTTTCAGGAAATCTCGGATCAGCATGCCTGGAAATCACTCCTTAGGCTCTGCCGTGGGAGTGCTGTCTTTGTAATCCTGGTCCCTTCCCTGTGGGTAATTACCCTTGAGCTCGCTTCAGATCTTCACATAATTGGAAGAATGCATTGCACACTCCCGTGCCTGGGCTCTTTCATCTAGTGTGTTTATAGTTCATTCGTGAGCGCTGTGTGCCAGGCCCACACTTGCCAAGCCAGCCTTTGGAAGATGGAGGACGGAGATCTGGAGGCCACTTTGGACTAACCAGGAAACCTGATGCAGGCCTGGTTACATGAGACCTTATCTCAAAAATAAATTCATCTTAGCTCGGTGGTGGTAGAGAATGATTTTAATTCCAGCACCCAGGAGGCAGAGGCAGATGGTTCCTGAGTTCAAGGTCAACCTGGTCTCCAGAGCAAGTGCCAGGACAGCCAGGGCTACACAGAGAAATTCAGCCTCAAAAACAAAACAAAAAACCCAAAACAGCAGCAAACAACCCCCAAACCCATAAGAAAACAAACAAATAATTTATCTTTTTTGGCAATGCAGCTGCTGTTGAGTGGGGTTCCCGTGAAGAGTTTCTGTTCTACCACGGGGATAAAAAGTCCTAGTTGTTTTTAGTTTGGTGCCATGAAAAAGTTTCTCTTGGGTGGCTAGGGAGTGGAATACCTGGGCCGTTGGTAACTGTGTTTACAAGGTGCAGAACCGCCCTGTGCTTTTCCTAGTGCCTGTGGTAATGTTCACACCAGTGAACAGACAGGAAGTCCACCGGCTCTGAATTCTCTCCTCCTCACCTTCACCTCCTCAGACTTTCTAAAAACTTTTAGATTCATTTTTAATTTAATTTAATTTTATTGTTTTATTTTATTTGGTTTTTCGAGACAGGGTTTCTCTGTATAGCCCTGGCTGTCCTGGAACTCACTCTGTAGACCAGTCTGGCCTCGAACTCAGAAATCCGCCTGCCTCTGCCTCCCAAGTGCTGGGATCAAAGGCGTGCGCCACCACTGCCCGGCTCTAATTTGTTTTCATGTAGGTATCTGCATATCTGTGTGTACACCAGTGAGTGTCTGTGTGCGTTTAGGCCTGAAGTAACCTTGTGTCATTTCTTGGGGGTCATCCACCTAGGTTTTTTTGGGGGACAGGGTCTCTCACTTTGGTCTGGGGCTCATTGATTCTGTTAGACTGGTTAGTCCAATGAACCCCAAGGATCTGCCTGTGCCTGCTGCGTCTTCTGTACTGGAATGTTACTTTTTTTTGGTTTTTCGAGACAGGGTTTCTCTGTGTAGTTCTGGCTGTCCTGGAACTCACTCTTAGACCAGGCTGGCCTCGAACTCGGAAATCCACCTGCCTCTGCCTCCCAAGTGCTGGAACTAAAGGCGGCGTGCGCCACCACCGCCCGGCTCTGGAATGCTACCTTTTATGTGGGTGCTTCGGACAGAGCTCAGATTGTCGTGTTTGCCTAGCAAGCACTTGACCACCTATGCCCCAGAGCCCCTGCCACTTTCCATCTGACAGGGTCTTACTCTGGAGCCTAGGCTGGCCTTGAACTCAACTTGAATATGTTGCATATTTGAACTTGTATTCCTCCGGTCTCAGCATCCTCCCAGGCAGGAAGCACCGCTCAGGTATATTTTAGGCCATCTTACCCATGAGGAAAGGCAGTGTGCCTGAGGCTACGCCTTGGTACTTTCAAGAACTCACCTGAGTCAATAAGGCTCCCCAATCACAGCAAAGGCATAATGAGGCTACACTACACTGGGGTTGGGATTTGGAAGGTTCTCGATACACCAGCCATGTGTTCCACAGACTCTCACTATCTGAGCCCAAGGAATGACTTTGTCACTAACTTTGCAATTTTTTCCCCCAGGTTGTGTCACCTCTGTGGTGCTCATTTTGGTTATCAGTAAAAAGCTTTCAAAGTCCAATCCCATCAGATAACAAGGAAAACTCGGACATTTCTGATACAGGCTTGGTGCTTAATAACTTGCAGTTTCTTTTGTTTGTGTGTGTGTCTCTGTCTGTCCTCCCTGCACTCGGGTCTTGCTGGAGTGTTACATCATACAAAGGCTGTTCATACTCCCGTCTTACCTTCTAGCAGGGCACCCCTTGAGTTAGATTGAAAAACACCCCATGCTAATAACATAAGCTTAGATCGAAAAGGAGACACTCCATCAGTGAGCAATAACTTCTTTCCGGTAAGGCATTACTCAGAACCTCCCTGCTAAACCTGTTCTTCTGTCTTGGCTATTTGTTCCCGCCTGACTTCCTCCTGATGTCACAACTTGTTGCTCTAATGGCTTTTGACTAATAAAGAGTTTCAAAGGACAGCAGAGTCTCCAGGGTCCGGAGACTTTGGCCTTTTCTATTCTTAGCTGTGAACTCTTTGTTTACCAGGAGAAAGGCAAAACATTCACAGAATTAATGAATCATTTGCTTCTCACCTACCAAAGATAGTGTCTACTGCCACCCAGGAGCCACAGGAATGCCAAGGTAATTGTGGCACTAGTATTTTTTTTTCTTTTTTTGGACATATCTCATGTATCCTGACTAGCTTTAGTGTCTGTCTGTCTGTCTGTCTGTCTGTCTGTTTGTTTATAGGTATGGGTGTTTTATCTACATATATGTTTGTGCACATATGCACCACATGTCCACAGGCCAGAAGAATGTTTTGGATCTCCTGGTACTGGAGTTACAGACTGTCTTTAATCTACCATATGAATGCTGGGAATTGGACCTGGATTGCCCGGAAGAGCTGCCAGTCCCCTTAATTACTGACCCATCTCTCCAGTTCCTTAGTTTGGCTTCTTGAGACCGTTTAAGGATGTTTTAACTTCCACCACTGCTTGACCTGGACTTGCTATGTAAACCAGGCTGGACACAAAGTTGAGGCAGTCCTCCTGCTTCTGCTCCTCTGTCCCAAGTGCTGGGATTATTGGTGTGTCACCACACCAGACACTGCATTCTGTGACTTTGGCATTGGGGGAGGAGCTAGGAGGCTGAGGGAAGGACTAGATTACTTTGTTGTTGTTTTTGTTTTTCAAACAGGTTCTTCCTACGTAGCCCTAGCTGTCTTGTAACTTGCCCTCGAACTCAGAGATTCACCTGACTCTGCTTCCCAAGCGCTGGGCTTAAAGGTGTGCACCACCACCATTGCCTGGCTAGGTCTAGGTCATTTTATTTTAATTAATTAGTTTTTGGAGACAAGATTTCTCTGTGTATTCCTGGTTGTTCTGGACCTCACTCTGTAGACCAGCCTGACCTCACTCAGAGATCCTCCTACCTCTGCCTCCTGAGAGCTGTGATTAAAGACATGGTTGACTATCACCCATCCAAAGGGGTAGCATATTTGAACTGGATTTTGCGAACTGGCCTAGGTATAGTAGCTTTTCTGATTTTCTGTGTGTGTGTGTGTGTGTGTGTGTGTGTGTGCCAGAGAGAGCACGGTATGACTCCTCCCTCATTTGGGTACTCCTCCTTCCTCATTCTTTCTCTGGAACTCAAAAGGCAATCCACTTTATAGCTTGAGAGAGAGGGGAAACTTAAGTTTGACCTGTTAGTTGGAAAGGCACTGCTATTATGGCAGCCGAAGTGTATAGACACTTCACTGGATGCTGTATGAGCTTTACATTTTCTTTTTTAGATTATCGTATGTATGTGGGTGTTTAGCTTGCATGTATGTAAGTGTACCATGTGTGTGTCCAGTGCTGGGAGTGAATAAAAAAAGGAGCATCAGACTCCCTGGGACTTGAGCTGCAGACAGGTGGGAGTCACCATGTGGGATGTTGGTGACCAAACCTAGATCCTCCCAAGAGCAACAACAAATGCTTAGTCACTAAGCCAACTCTCCAACCCCGTACGAGCATTTTGACATTTGATTCTTCCCTAAGCTGCTCGAGTTATTACCTGTACTTTTCAGATGAGGAAACGGAAGATCAGAGTAAACAGCATGGCTAGGAAGGACGCAGTGAGACAGGTGTTAAAACTTGGGTGTCTACGATAGAGAACTGCCCCACGCACCAGGAGTGTCCCTACAATCCACATTTGTCTTAATTGCTCGAAACAATTATTAATTTCTCAGTGGTCGACTTCTACATTTTCTTTGTCTTCCTTAAAGCTGAGTTGCTCTCTTCCCTGCTTCATTTCCCCAGCATAGGACTTTGATCCCTTACGCATTGATCGATTTCAGCTTACCGCCAATCAGGTCTTGGAGAATGAGGACTTTTACCTGGTTTGGTTCTGCTGTTTTCCCAGCACCTACAGCAGAGTCAGGAACATAACTAGAGCAGCGGTCGTGACTCCTTTTGCGGGTCGAACAACCCTTTCACAAGTGTCACCTATGACCATCAGAAAACACGTATTTACATTACTAGTCATAAGAGTGGCAAAATAACAACAGTGATGAAGTAGTGACAAAAATAATTTATGATTGGAGGTCATCACAACTTGAGGAACTGGATTAAAAAATCGCAGCGGTAGGAAGGTTGAGAACCGCTGACCTGAGGTTTTGGAAACTTTTGTTGACAGAACTAAATTACACACTCCCGAGAGGGAATAACCAGTCACGAATAAATGAGCGCGGATTGAACCTCAAAGGCACCCGTAGCACACTTCCTGGTAGTCCTCGGCGAAGCGGAGACCGGAAGCGGAAGTCCTACTCCTCACGTTTACATCCTACGTCCGCGTCGGCGCAGCCTGAAGGCGTCAGTTCCTGGCGGCGGGGACCGGGGTAGCCAACGGCCTGTGAGCATCATGCCTAAGTGAGTGTGGGCCTGGGATCTGGCCGACTTACAGCGATCAGTCGGGGCCTGGTGACGGTGGAGGGCGGCGGCTTGGGGTTCTCGAAGCTCTGAGGGAGAGGGGAGCACCTTGGTGAGATGCCGGCTGGGGAGCCAGACTCTGCGGCCACCCTTTCAGAGTAGGGTCGGACGCTCCCTGAGGAGCCTCGGATTCTGTCAGAACGCTTTGTTTGACTTAGAATCTGAGTAAGTTGAGTTTTTTTTTTTCTTTTTTTCCCGCCTGCTTGTTTGGACAGCTGTTAATTGTTGACGCCTTCTTTTGTCATTTCAGGTTTTACTGTGACTACTGTGATACATATCTTACCCACGATTCCGTAAGTAGCGCTTCTCTTTATATCCTTAAACGCCTTGTATGCAAAAATCCTTTTTCTTTAGGTTCTGGTGTGCGCATTACAGCCTTCTGGGAATTTTATGAAGTAATTAGGAGGCGCGGGTGTTTTTTACACCCTTCTGGTGAGGTTTTTTTGTCGGGTGATGATATTTGCAGAATGATATAACGGCTTTAGCAAGCTTGAAGAGGCAAGCATTTGCATATACAGAAGCTGGATATGCCTGTAATGTACGTGAGAGACTGTGCCAGGAAGATGCCAAATTCCAGGTCAGTCTAGGATACATTTTGAGGCCTTGTTAAAATAACGATCCCCCTGCCCCCAACCCCCAAAACCAATCAACCTAGGAGTGTGTTCTTACAACTTGGAGGTTTGATTGTGTCACATTATTCAAATGTCTAGTTAAAACGGAAAGATTAGTCTATAGAAGTGCATCTCCATTCTCAGCTTTCATGGGGACCTCGTTAACTACTGTTGACTGCACTCTAGCCATCACAAGGCCCTGGGAAGCATAAAAACAACAACCCAGCTACAAAGCTAGGTAGTGGGGCTTGTGTCTTCCCAGCATACTGAGAAGGAGTATTGCTGTGCATTTAAGGCTGTGGTGGGAGACCCTACCTCAAAAAAAAGCAAATCAAAACAACCGTTTGGCAACAACAAAAATTGGTGTTACGGTTTTAATAGTTTTAAATTATTTATTTGCTCTCCCCTCCCCTGATGAAACAAGACAACTCTGGCTGTTCTGGAACTTGATTTGTAAACCAAACTGACCTCGAACTCACAGCTGCTCACTCCTGCCTTCTGAGTGCTGGGATTAAAGTTGCTTCCCACTGCTTCCCTGGTTTATTTTTGGACAGGGTCTCATGTATCCCTGGCTGACCTAGAACTTATGTAGAGCAGGCTATCCCGCTACCTCTGGGGATTCAAGGCATACATCACTACGACCAGCCTAAAGTACTGTATTCTCGTATTATTGTGGCTTAGGTGTATTTAAGACTCAATTTTCCCATGAGAAACATGAGGGCATTAAAATAGCACTAGAGTCCAGATCAGCGGTATGCATGCTTTTTCTTAAAGTTGCAAACCATCTTTTACATTTGTAAATATAGAATCTTTATATCAAAGTCTGTCGCTGTAGACAGAAGCCATAGACAGTAAATAGATGAAACTGTTGGCTGACATGTAACCTAGCTGGTAGAGCACTTGCCTAAAACACAGAAGCTCTGAGTTCCAGTCCTAGGACTGAGTGGAGTGGAGGGAGCCCTGGAGGCAAGGGTCTGTGCGTGTTCACTGCCCAAAAGCAAATGTTTGTTGTGTAGGCCCCAGTATGCTGACCTCTGGTCTAGGAGTCCAGGAAAGCTGTGTACCGAAGGCAGTGTGTGGAAAAGGTGTCTCAGTGTCTTGGCTAGGCTACCCATCCAGATGCAAAGCTTGAAATGTTTTTTAGTTTGGAGGTTTTGTTTCTGTGTCTGCCATGTTCTTTCTGTTTTACAGCCATCTGTGAGGAAGACACACTGCAGTGGTCGGAAACACAAAGAGAATGTGAAAGACTATTACCAGAAATGGATGGAAGAGCAGGCCCAGAGCCTGATTGACAAGACAAGTATGTCTCCTAGCGTGGTCTTGGTGGGACAGAGTGGCCCTGTTCTCTTTTCCACAGCAGCAGTTCACTGTGGTTGGCATACAGGGCCATTTGCTTGTTTTGAATGAGCAGCGGAAGGTCACTGGTTTACTAGGTCTATGAGAACACATTAATATTAACTATTGAGATAATGCCTCAGAGGACAGTCAGGTGCAGTGTGGTTAGGCTCGGGGGTGGGGTGGAGCAGTTGGAGTTGCCTCAGGTTTTCCTGTCATGGCAAGATTTTGTAGCACATTATACAAACCTGTCTTAGAAAAATTGTGAACCACAATGTTGAGAATTTTCCATAATGACTGGAGAAGGCTGGGATGTGTTTGAGAGACTTTATCTTGGGTTTTGTGTTTGTAACTCTGGAAAACCTCATTGTAGAGAGCAGCCCCGGGGTGTTCTGGACCACTGCTGGACCTTTTTGGAACCATCTGTGTTTCAGGTCCCAAACCCTGGCAAGACTTTGCATTTACTTTAAATTATAGGGGTGTATTTGGAAAATGGCCTTTTCTAAAAATTCATTTAGATTCTTGCGGCATAGGTAGACCTCCAGCTTGTTCTGTGCGGTGGAGGATGATTGAATTCTAGATCCTCCTGTCTTACCTTCTCAAGTCCAGGCCTTACAGATGTGGACCTGGTCTGCTTTTGTTTTGTTTTCAATAATTGGAATTTTTTTCTCCTTCCATGTGTGGGTGTCTGCCCATGCATGTACATGTGGAAGTCAGAAAAGGTGAGGGTCTTATTCTGTCCCTCAGTGTTGGAGGTCGCGTCTCAGATGTAGTCCTGGCTGTTCTGTCTGTCCCTCAGTGTTGGAGACCGCGTCTCAGATGTAGTCCTGGCTCTTCTGTCTGTCCCTCAGTGTTGGAGGTCTCGTCTCAGATGTAGTCCTCCTGGCTGTTCTGTCTGTCCCTCAGTGTTGGAGATCGCGTCTCAGATGTAGTCCTGGCTGTTCTGGAGCTTGTAGCTTAGATCAGGCTGGCTGTGGTGAACTCTGAACAATCTGCCCGGCTCTGCTCCTGAGTGCTAGAACTAAAGGTGATTGGCACTAGGCCCGGCTCTGCTCTTACCACTTCTTGCGTGGAACCTGAAGCTGGCCATTTCAGCTGGCTGCCTGCCACTGAGCTGAGATGCTCTGTTTTCTGTTCTTCAGTACTGGAATTACAGGCGTGCATGCATGGCTAGGCCTGGCTGTCGTGGGTCCAGGGATTGGGACTCTGGTCCTCGTGCTTGAGCAATATAGCTCTCGTGCACTGAGCTGTCATTTTGTCTGTGATTCGAGATGATAAGTCCAATAATGCCACACACCGGCTACGTGAATTCTCTCAGTGGTAGACGTGTGGAGTAGGGGCTGCAGACTCAGGAACCTGCTGTGATGCCCATAGATGAGTAGCTATGAGTGTGCTGTGCTCCCTGCACTCTGCACGCCACAGGCTGTCCTAGATAGGATGTGGACAGTGCTCTTCTGAGTGGAAAAGCCCTACGCAGAGAGAAGCCCTGCAGGGCAGGGTCTAGTCATGGCCGCCATTGCCTTAGTGGATGGAGTGGGTCAGCTGCAGGAGTTGGGCATTGGGTTCCTGAGAGTGAGATTTGTTTATTTTATTTATTTATGGGGATTTTTGGTTTTGAGTTTTTGAGTCCAGGTCTTGCTCTATGGTCCAGGCTAGCTTTGAACTCCCTGGCCTCCTGGCTCCAGTTTCCCAGTGCTGGGGTGACAGGCTTTGGCCAGTATAGTAATGATTTGAGTATTCTTGTCCTGTATGGATAATGTCCATTGTCTTCTCTTCTCACTTTTTGCCTCATGTGGTCCCAGGAAAAGGCAGATGATGGTAGCCCTTTGTTAGGATGGTGTCTTCTTCAGCGCTGCCTCTTGCTTCCACCTGTGTTTCTTCCTTGTCTCCTGGGTCAGTGCATTTGTTTCAGGTGTATTGTCTTACTCAGGAAGAGGGATACACATGCTTTAAAGCCTGGCCTTTGGGCATGGATTGTACCTTACACAAACAAAACTAGTGGCTTAAAATGGTTACAAACTAATTTTTTTTTCAATGCAAAGACTTGTCTCATTACATGTCTAAGTTGGTCTCAAGGCCCTGCGTTCAAGTCCTCCAGCAGCCTCTCTTGTGTGCTGGGGCCAGAGGTGCACCGCGCCGTGCGCCATGCCTGCCCACAGAAGCGGGAGTACAGATAACTAGTGCATGAGTACGGTATAAGAAGACGTTCAGGTACCTACATTAGGAAAGCAGTTCATTGCTACTGTAGCAGTCCAGTGTCTCAAAATGATTTAAAACTGGCCATGTGCAGTAG